CAGTGGCGATCAGTTACCGGAGTCTCACCTAGCGAAAGACTCCCATCGACTGGTTCAGCAAGCTACAGTCAACATTCGAGACCGCAACGTTCGGTCTGAGTATGTTGCAGCCCGTACCGCCACTGAACAGATCATTGACCTACGGAGCACGTTCAGGTACCTAGGAGTACTGGTCGACACACCGACCATGATGTCGGAGACAACGAGACGGTAGTCAACCGCTCGATGCCCAACTCAAAGATTCTCAAAAGACAAATGCGCTTTCCTACCACCGAACTAGGGAAGCCGTTGCTGCAAGTATCTTGAGATTTCATCATATCCCTGGATCTACTAACCCTGCAATATCCTCAGCAAACACTGGACTATACATCGGTATGGCCTTGCTGAATGCACTGCTGTTTTGTCAGAGACACCAAGGATTGCGGTAAGAACAACTCAGAGTCGACAGTCGCCACTGAGGGGAGTGAAAGCGTTACAGTTCTCCCACGACTCAGAGTATCGTGAGTAGATTGGGTCATGTTTTATGAGTCAACACGATGGAACAGAGAACGCTGGCAAGAACACGTCTCAACGAAACCAAAGGACACGTAAATTGGAGTATTCGACAGGAGTAAAGCATCCTGCCAACGAACCGTTTCCGCAAATACCACGTTGACTTCCGTATCAACTACCACGATGTATTGATCCAACACGCTACAACTAGCTTTATGATCGCATCAATCAAGCTCACAACACAGATTATGAATTACTAAGAAGCGAACTTTGCATTTACCTTGCACTCGTCTTGAATAGTTGCAGTTGATTCTCGTCGGGTGGTAGCTACTCTACAAGATCCCCTATTCAAGTAGTATTTCCCACGTTAGCAGTCGCGCAGCTTGACTCGAAGCTGGTGTAGCGTCTTTGGCAATCTTCATGGTGAGGAATAGGTTGAGGGTAGCTGAAAGCTATTGTGTTTGTTAACAATGCACTACGCTAAAAGCTAGTGTAAAGATCTTTCGAGTGTTTTGAGTTTGAGAGAATGAAAGTTATGAGAGGATTAGAAAGCTTGAAAATAATCAACGAGAGAGATCCACAACCAAAGGATCGTAGATCTGAACTCCCGCGGGAGACTGTAGAGTGTGATAGAGTAGGTTGCGGTAGCAATCCTACTCACTCCACGATCCAAAAACGGAACGCGTGGAAGATTCGTCTAGCATTTATCTAGTAGCGTGGAAGTACTCCACGCTGGCTAAATATCTAGAGCGATGTTTCATCATCACCTAGTATGACAGAGCGGTCCATTGAGAAAGAACCCTGTCTCAATGACTATTCATGAAAGACTCAGTCATGAGTCGAACTCAAACCCTATCTAGGATCGAGTCGCGAATAAGGCTAAGAGCCGTGTATTGCACTGTCGACTTCATCAACCAGAGCATTGGAATTAATGTCTTAAGGAGCGACACCTCTTCGTCTTTGTCTAAATCTCAGGTGTCCAGTTTCATAATCGGCAAACAAGACTACAAAAGCATTGGTCTTATCTGACTGAAGCCGTGCGAGTAGCCGGTCAGCTGCTGTTGCTTCATCAGCAGGGACTTGCGTTTCAACACCATCAGCTGACATTATCGAAAGCACAATCCCTTGCTGGAGATTCCGCTTCATGCCTTTCAGCTGAGCAGCAAGAAAGGATCATCCTTTCTACCATAGGTAAGAAAATAGTATGAAAGATTGAGACCGATCCTGATTAGCTTGTAGCCCCTTTGATACCGCAGCAGTTGATTCCTATCCTGTTGAGGTCGGGCAGAAGCAGTAGGAGGTAGCAGATAGTACTGTTCCCAGACTGCCACTGCACGATTGAATAACGAAGGCCCCCAGCTCCTGAGGTGAGCTGGCCCAAAGGGCCCAGCAGAGAGCTCTGTTGGCCCTCCTGTCTGACTGACAGGGCCAAGTCCTTGGTTTGGTGCCCACTGGAGGTGTTGGAACACTCCTAAGGCACGACAAGGCTCCCTTGCTACCTGACTACTGCTGTTCTTGAGGAAGGGCTCTAGCGAGGCCCAGTCCACTACATCAGTATTGGAACGAGAATCTATTGAATGTCACCGCCTCGGAACCCAAGTGTTTGATCTGAACTTGAATTTGGCTAGGGTCGAGCTTCGGATGTCCAATGTGTTTGGTGCTTTCGCTTTGTTTGGCTGGCAGCAACCATTGCCTGCGCTCATTACTGAAGTAAACATTAAAGTAGAAAGGACAAAGCTTGTCTTTTCCGATTATAGGTATAGGTAATTACTGAGTTTGGGTAGTAGGACTGTGTTGGATTGCCTTTGATTGTGCTTCCTTATAATACCTATGTCTCGGGCACACAACAGTAAGGTAGGCTCTTCGTCTGTCATAGCCTCTGTTTTTAACATTAAAGCCTGCTTCCTTGCATGCAAGTGCAAATACAGACATCAGTTCCTCTTTGATAAACTTTTTGTCATCTTTGTTGAATTTGCTTGGCAGCCAATACACGTTGGTCTTGTCAATTTGAGCATTGCCAAGCTGGCCCAGTGTTTGCATAATGTCAATTGTAATAGGAGGTTCATTTGTTAGAGACGTTGCCACAGCTACACTAATAGAAGGAGGGATCCACTCTTCTACATTGGTATCATATTGGGAAACATCATTCAGTTCAGCAAGATAGGTATCCATATTGGTTGTTGTGACACTTTGGTGAGTGCTTCAGTTCAGATCCTATAGAGACCTGGCAACTTAGAGAACTGACAAAAATTCGTCATATCATATGATACATATTATGTATGTTATGTATCATATATATCATATGGTTAATATATATCATAATATTATATTATCTGGTTTTTATGATAATTGTGTTTCGTATGATACGTATCATGTGTACAATATATATGATACGTATTGTATAGTATAACCCTTCCTCTAAGGTGCATGCTTTTGGGGGCCTCTGCGTACCGCTACTATACTACAGTAAATACTACTTAATTCAGTCACTTTTTGCTAAAATCGTATGACTACAGTAAATACCTGTACCGGCACGGCAGAGCAGTCTTCCCACGATCCAAAATACTAGCAATGTCCAAAAGGTTTGGCTCCCCGTCATTCATCGATTTCGGTAGTCACCACTAAAACTACTACTGGTTGCCAACGGTTGCTCTGGCTATACCGCTGAGGAAGCCAGATATGTACCCTATAGCTAGCATTGAACTATCGTAGACAGAACGACGAGATCGAATGACTGAAAGAATATATTTTTGATTCTATCTGCCTCCAGCGCTAACTGAGAAAGTATTGCAGAGCAAGTAATGGTATTTGCTTGGATGACAACGAACAATAGCTCAAAGATATCCACACTCTCCTGAATCCTTTCTGCTTTAGTGCCCCACCAACCGCACAATGCTTGGCTCCATGATCTTGTACATGAACTGGCTAACCTTGCCTCACTCAATTGCATTGGCCATCTATTCAAACTGTACCAGCTAGTACCTTACGACAATTTATTCATTGGCACTTACTGAACAAAGCAAAAGAGAGCTATCATTATTGTTGTGTTGCTTCTGGCTAGTAATCCCCTCCATAGATTCAATGATTACTTGTACCAGTACTAATCCACTAGCACCAGTTGCCTCCGGCAGGGGACAGGGGATTACTCATCATTCCAATACCCAATACATGAAAGCCGTTGTGCGGATGCAGCCGCATCCACACAATAGCATTGCTGGTTGATTTGGATTACAAATACATGGCCAAATTATTCTCTCAACTTGCCCAATCCACCAGTACCAAGTCAACAGGAAAATGGGTACCGACACAGGAATCACAACCAAAACAATAAGGAAATAACACTGGAGGGGTGAATCCGATGGGAGAATCCACTCTCGTCTGTTCTAGTGTATTGTCGTGTAGCCTCCTCGCTTCAATCCTCCTCCTCCGTTTGACTGTTGCCTTGCAATGACTCGCCACAATTTCTTCAGGCCGATGATAGAGCTGGAGTAGCGGTAGCCTCTTGTTATCCGGATGGATCGATGGTTCGAAAAGGACTCGACAATGGTAATTCCTTGGCCGTCAGCAGCAAGAGAATAGAAAGTAAGACTGTATCCCGTCGCACTCTTCTATTCTGATACTGCAGACAACCGGTGACAAACCCTTGTTTTTCAAAATTCTCCAACTTGGCCGTCATGTGCCGAGAACTGACTGCCATCCCATGGTCCATAGGATTCAATGAGTGATGGCTTTCGAACTTGCACTGGAGACGCTCCGATTGAGTGAGGCTTGATAGTAGAGGTGCGGCCAATGTATTGGCATGGAAATCAAGATAACTTATGACTATATCTAGTTCTTCCTCATTGGTCTCTGTTCTCTCAGTTCCCAGTCATGGACAATAGTGACTGAAAAGCTAGGCTGGATCTCAACACACTCCTGTGAAGAGATCGTGCATCGATCCATGTTCGATCTATTCATTTGCAGATTGTAGATTCAGTATCGCTTGTCTGAACATTCTGAACTTTGCACCACATAGTGGCTTGGTAAAGAAGTCCCCAAGCATTTCATCAGTGGGACAATAGTGGATCGACACTTCGTTGGCCTTGATTCGATCCGTCACAAAGAAATACCGTATATTGATGTGTTCGCTTCCCACTGGAAGCACGTCCATTGCGCTCCAGCAGCGTCGCTTACACTAGGCCCATCATAAGTGGGCGCACTTGTGCGCCTGAGGTATATGGGCTCGTCACGGCACCGTTCAGCGGATCGTCTGACGAGGTGTAGCCTTTAAAATAAATTTTCGTTATTTTTTTTGCGCTCCAGCAGCGTCGCACTCTGATTGTTCTGGAACAACTGGTTGTCGTCCACGTGGTACCCTTGTTCCTCGAGGAAATATCGGGTCCAAAGCACCATCGGCATCATGTCATCCACCGCAACTAACTCCGCCTCAGTCAAGCTCTTCGTGTTCAGCTTTTGTCGTGTAGATGACGAGTAGATTGAACCTTTGCCAAGGGAAATGGCTCTTCATGTCAGAGTGCACAGCGAAAGACACATCGATCCACCACTTCACAACGTGGCTCTCGTCTGCTTCGAGCGTCAAAGGGAGATGTGGGTTGGTTCCCGCGGAGATATCTGATCACTCGGCTGAGCTTCTTGTAGTCATGTTCATTAGGCGACTTGATCCGAGTTGTCAGGAACGCCACGGCCTGTTGTATTTCTGGTCGTGCCCACTTCGACACGAAAAGCAGCTTTGCCACCATCGTGTGAAAGTATTCCACCGATTCACTATTCAGAGGCACTGCATCGTTATCAGATGTGTCGAACAGATGCTCTGAAGCGGGATCTGGTGAGGTTCCATTCATGAACTTGTCGTCTTTTGCTTCGGAAACGATTCCATCCACGTAGTTGTCCATGCGGAAGATCACTTTTCCAGGTGTCGAGTAGTCAATTGTCATTCCAAGGTATTCTTGCACCTTGCTTCGTTTCTCTGTCAAGGGTGCTTCCTTGCCATATTTCTCGTTCAAACGCTTGATGATGTCCGTCACCACATGTGGATTGACGTGTGAGATCTTTAAATCATCAACGTGCCATAGGATGGTGCACTGTGCTCCATCTATCATCTTGTTCGCGACGCAGCTGTCATATTTGTTGAGTTCAAAACCCCATTCGAGGAGGGTCCCTGTTAACTCCCCCCAGAACAATAGTGCCGCCTGAAGAGTTCCATACGGGGCCTTCTTCAGCTTGGCATAGAGCACGGTTTTTCCATTTTCCGTGTGTATGCATTGGCTGTAACGCTGTGGATCCACCTTGGCCATCAGTGTTGCAAGTGGTCCGGTAAGCCGTATAAATACTTCCCTGTCAATGTCAGCCTGCATGAATGCTCCTGGGATGTCAATTGTCGCGACGTCACGTCCTTCCTTGGCATCGAAAACGCAGGACAGGAACAGTGATTCCACTGTGGCTGTTGGTGGCTGGTTTCGTCCTTAGACTTGTATATTCTTTGCTTCCTGCCGTCAGTGCATCCCCTGCCCTTGATCTTCCCGCATGTTTTCTTTTTCAGGAACATGAGGTACTCCAGTGCTCCCTTGCGTTGTTGTCTCAACATATCCTCCCATTTCACCGGTTCCATCACATCACGGACATATAGCTGTTTCATCTCTTTGAGGATGGCCTTAGCTCCTTCCTCTCCAAATTCCTTGAGTCCCCTCTTAGCGGTGTATTGTGTCAGAGCCACGTGCTCCAGTTGTTCCGCCTCGGGTGGCTCCTGTACTGTTTCGAGCGTATGCTCCTGATTCATTGGGCCGTATTTGTGACTGGTGTACCGTCTCGCTCTTCTGTCACGTAGTCCCGGTCTTCTCCTTTCACCATAAGTTTCGTCCATTCTTTCCACGAGTACATCCGCTATTGGGTCGTCCACAGTTGAGTTGGCAGGTTGTTGTTGTGCGTCACTGTTGTCCACTCCTGCAGATTCGTCCGCTTCTGCATTTCTGTCTCCGTGTTCTGACTCTTGGTCGTCTGTTGTTGAGTCGTCATCGTCTGAGCTGCTGCTCCCTGCCACGCCTGTGTTGTCGGCAGGTTGGTCGTCATCGTCGTCCTCGCTCACGTTGGTTGGTTGTTGAGGCTCGTCGTCATTGTTTTGCTGTTCTTGTTGGTTGTCAGGATCATTAATCTAAATTTGTTCCTCGTTCTCATCCTGTTCGTCGTCTGGTTCCTGTTGTTGTTCTCCGGGTGGGTTGCGGTGTTGATTGTCTTGGTTCTGGGACATGTCATTGTTTTGGTCATCGCGATCGTCGTCGTTATCGCTGTCGTCATTGTTGTTGTGGTTGTTGTCGTCATTCACTCCTACGACGCTGCCATCGTTGGGATGGTGGAAGCGTCGTCATCCTTGTCGTAGCTGTCAGGATCATAGTCGGAATCATCGTCATCGTCGTCCACCTCGGTACCATCACGAAAAGCGAAAGTGAGGGTACCTGATGCCTTGTTGCGGCGTGCAATGATGTGGACGCGGTTGATCACCTCATCAGGCATTGGCATTTCTGTCCATCGCATTCGGTGGATACGTTGACCTGTCCATAGGTTCATAAAATAATACCCACCTTGGGCGAGGCCGGCAATTGATTCTCAGTTCCAGTACTCAAGTAGTGGACTGGGCCTCGCTGAAACCCTTCCTCAGTTACAGCGGTAGTCAGGCAGCAAGGGAGCCTCGTCGTGCCTCAGGAGTGTTCCAACACCTCCAGTGGGCACCAAACCAAGGACTTGGCCCTGTCAGTCAGACAGGAGGGCCAGCAGAGCTCTCTGCTGGGCCCTTTGGGCCAGCTCACCTCAGGAGCTGGGGGCCTTCGTTATTCAATCGTGCAGTGGCAGTCTGGGAACAGTACTATCTGCTACCTCCTACTGCTTCTGCCCGACCTCAACAGGATAGGTATCAACTGCTGCGGTATCAAAGGGGCTACAAGCTGATCAGGACCGGTCTCAATCTTTCGTACTATTTTCTTAACTATGATAGAAAGGACGATCCTTTCTTGGCTGCTGCTTTGGTTGAAGATAAGCCAACTGCGCGCACTGGAGCTGTAGGCCAGCATAGCTGTTGGAGCTATCTCTGACGGGATCCAGAGCTCTCGCTCCTAGACTTTATCCGCCGGCAGGACGTAGTGCAATGGCTCCCATGGTACGAGATTGCATGCTGTTGTCATGCTCCTCGTGTGTTTGTAAGTAGGTCCCTGGTTCCACTCGGCAGTGCCAGTGGAAATCAACGTGCACTCCTGTGATCAGAGCCCTAGGGCTGATTGTTGGTGATATTCCATTACTCGGCGGGAACATGTTCAGCCATGTGACAGCGCCAAGCACCAGTTCGATGGTCATGTGATGGGGGACCAGCCGGAAAGGTAGTCCACTCCAGACAGCTCTGGTTCTTTCCTTAATAGTTCTGATTGCTTGTTCGACCTCTGGGACATGTTCGTCGTCTGCAACCGTGTCTAGACGGATTTGTTGATCCGCTAGATCACCACGGAGGCATTCGAACTCTCCATCGGCATTGAATTGTTCGATGTGGAACTGTCGTAAATTGTAGAGTTTCTTAACTTGCAGAATAGCTGCAAGCACCGTCTCCTGTCGCCTGTTTGGTATGTGTTCTACTGTGATAAACCGAATCTTGTGTGATGTGGAGATTAGGAATGGAATCTTGTTCACGAACATAATGTCCACAGACAGTGTCACCTTTTGTAGTCGCGTCCACAGCTGTGGCGGCATGAGACACACCATGAGATTGTTGGTGGCTCAGGGCCTGCAAACTGTCTTTCCTTACAGGCATCTGAGTTTTGGTCTGAATATCTCTTCCGCGTTCTTGATGTCTTCGCGTGTGACTGGACAATTGAGTATCAGGTTGCTGTCAATGATACGCAAGTAGTCCTTCAACGACGGCATTCCAATCATGTTGTGCAACTTTCTAGCTAATAGTGCATGCTTGTAGGCCTTAATGGAGTACTTAGACTTGTTATCGGCTACAGTAGTCACCATCGCACAGTGGTCCTCCTTCTGGGGCAGTCCGTTCTTTGCGTCCCAGTAGCGGAGTCCATTTGCCACTCGTCGGAAAACTCTGGTCGATCCATCTGGTTTGTGGATTGTAAATTCTCTGTTTTCATACGTAACCGGGTAGTGTTCCTCGACTCGATCGACAGTATGTTTGCTATGCCGTCGGGCAGGTACCAAACTGTCCCGGGGAAACCAGGGAGGTTTCCAACCATGTTGGTTCTCTTCACTCTTGCATTGCAGTGGACCTTCATCCATTTGTTGGTTGTTCGTATGTTCCTCAGTAGCGCTGGATCCTTGAAGACATTTATGGTGCTGCCATTGTCCAGAATTATCCAGCCGGATGGAATGATTGTCGTACTGAGCGTTACACCACTGTCCTCAGGGTGTAGGAACCCGAATCCCTCGTATTCCTTCGCATTCAGGAGCATCTGCACGCCTTCAGACTGCTCAGCGGTCGGACATTGTTGCTGGTAGTGGCCTTTCTGTTGGCAGTGGAAGCAGGTGATGTTGGGAAACTTTCGGCCGTCGGTTCCCGAAACCACTGCTAGGGTGGTCCCTGATTCTGTCTCGCCATCTTGTGCGAATGCCACGTCCCTTCCGACCGTTCGTCCAATTGTTCCGCTATTTTGACTGTTGTTGTTCCCGTTGTTCCTGGCGTTTCTCGAATTCTTCCTGTTCGGCACGTAGCCGGCTAGCAGGTTGTACGCCTCAACGAGCATCGTAGGGTAACGGTTCTGTTGCTGATTCTGTAGCAAGATCCATAGATCTCCGAATCGACCTCTGTGGGCGTTGTACAGAAAAATGATGGCGTGTATTTCGTTACGGGATTTCCCACCCGCACTCAGGAACTCATCTTTTCCAGCGTCAGGAAGGGCTGTCCCTTCTGGCAAGTGATCGGCCAGTATGCCAGGCTCCATCCCGAGACTGCCGCCGTTGTGTTCGTGAACCTCAACATACCTGCGGAAGGTTCGGTAGTATTCTGCCACTGATTGTTCTGATTGTTGTCTGAAATGTAGCACTCTGAGTTTGCTCTCGAGAGTGGCGAGAGATTTCTTTCGGATGGTTTGAAATTGGAACATCGTGTCCTTGATCATGTTCAGGACCCCGATTAGGTCCGAATTGTCGTACGCCTTCTTGAAGCCTGTGTTGCTTTCGACCTTTCCACGGACTGCATCACTGCATTGACCCCATACCAGGGACGTCGCTTGTGCCTTGATCTTGTTCACGCGTTTCTTGTCTTTCACGTAGCCGTCCACTTCGGCTTTGAAGATTGCCAGGTCGGCTGTGTCAGTTGATGGCTTCGGCTTATCATCGTCGTCTAGGACCGGGTCTCCATTGCTGTCAATTTCTTCTGCGAGCGTCGGCCTCTCGAGGGCTTGTTTGGTCATAGTTTCTATTTCCTTCCGGATGATGTGGCCCCCAGTCCATGTTGTGCCGACGTACTCGGCTAGTTGTTCATTGTGATTGTTTAGGATGCTACTGCGGCGGTTGCGTTTATCATGTCGTACACATGCTCCTCTAGACCTTCAGTGCGGCCTTTGAACACTCCTGTGTTCCTATTGCTGACAGTCCCAGCGCTGTTACTGCTCCTTTGGTTTCCGCGCCCACGGCCTCCTCTGCCGCCTCTGCCTCCCCTGCCATGTCCTCTGCCTGATCCTCGGCTTGTGCCTCCTGTGAGGCTGGACATCGTGCTGTCTTCCGTGTCTTGGGACGTGTTCGGGCTCTCAGTAGGCTCCGGTATCTTGGCCAAGGGAATGACCCGGCCTCTCCTCGCAGCCTTTAAAAGGCTGGCTGTTGTGCTTCCTGGCTACTAGTATGTATTGATCGTGTCTGCGATATCGAGTAAGTTATCTTGAATGTTGAACTGACTATCTCTATAGCAGGGTTGTCACTCTAGTCTAACCAGATTCAAGATAACTTATAACTATCTAGTTCTTCCTCATTGGTCTTTGTTCGTGAGGTCACCTCACGATTTAAACAAAAGGGGGTCTGGGGTGGCTGGCAATTTACTTTGGCTCTGTTGCATAGGGACAAAGAGTACAAAAGCTGATTCTGCAATTAAGAGCCTTCTTGAAGTGCTTTTGGTGTGTTAAAGCATGCACTAGTAATTAGTAAGGATTGGTTCAAAGGAAATCCGTTCACGTACTTTAAACCATCACTTCTGGTTATGATTTGAAGTGTACCAAGAGGCTAGATGATTTAACACCAGATTTATAAAAAGCTAGTAAGACATTTTACAAAACTTCAATGAATTCCTAGGAATGCCCTCCAGAGGATTACAGTGGAATCTGTGATTATTTGGCAAGCTGGCTGTGCATGTACTGAGAACAGTTTTAGAGAATTTGGCCAAGTGTAGCAATTGGTGTAGAACATACCAATCAACCCCTTCAAGCTGGGAGCTTGGACAACGCTTCAGGCGGACAACAGCTACCTACAGCTACAGGCGGGACAACAGCTACAGGCTGGGACAACAGCTAAAGGCTGGGAAAACAGCTACAAGCTGGACAACAGCTATAGCTCCAGGCTAGGATAACGCTTCAGTGGCAGCACAGGCTGGGACAACAGCTCCAGGCTGGGACAACAGCTCAGCTGGGAAACAGCTTCAGGCTGGATAACAGCTCAGGCTGGGATAACCACTTCAGGCTGGACAACCACTACAGGCTGGGACAACACTCCAGGCTGGGACAACAGCTCCAGGCTGGGACAACAGCTCCAGGCTGGAACAACAGCTCCAGGCTGGGACACAAGCTGGGACAACAGCACAGCTACAGGCTGGGACGATGGCTCCCACTTGTCACCCTACACGCACCACACCAGAGAGGTGCTGGCCCTCATTTTTTCCAAGTTGGACTTCCTGTTGCTCATAGAGAGTTATAATTTCCAGTGCATTCTCGAATCAAGCAGTGGGCATTGTGACAAATAACTGGCTTCCAGCAGATTCTTGACCACAGGATTGATTCAATCAGGCAGTTGGCTGTTGTATCTCTTTGCGTATGAAGCCCTTTGCTGGAAGCACCATTGGTACGATTCCCAGCCTTTTGTCATGATCACGGAGCATGACAGGCGGTCTTCGTTCCTTGGTGCTTTTCATGCTGGAATTTTGACGGTGGCGACGCTTTGGGAGATGGTGTTCATGCTTCTGGCGAACCTAGGTTTGGTCTCTTCTTGTACTGAACTCACTGGGAATGATATTGACTCCTATGGGCTCGTTGGGTTGGTTGACTGGTATTGTGAACTACTGATTCAGCTCTGATTCTATTTTATGCACGGTTTGTGCTTGGTGCTTTTTCACGCTGAGAATTTTGACGGTGGCGACACTTTGGTGTTGATGCTTCTGGCGAACCTTCTTGTGTTTCTTGGATGCCATTATGCCATTATTTCTGGTCTCGGCTCGTAATAAAATTCACTGGGAATGGTATTGGAATAGCTGGCTGGTATTGTCAACTGATTCTATTTTATGCTCGAGCTTGTCTACCAACAATGTGCAAATGACAATGACGACGCCAGCCTTCTATGGGCGGGAAACTCGAGCCAGCTGATGCTCTTTGCTTGTTGGCCTGTTGTGCTTTTTGAAAAAAGCATTGCCAGTAAAGCACTTGTGATGGCCAGTGGTGAAGCATTGCCAGTAAAGCACTGGTGATGGCGGCCAGGAAAGCACTCGTGGTGGCCAGCGGTGCGTGAAAAGATCCAGCGTGTGCCTGAAAAGATCCGGCGTCTGGCCTCAGACCGAACCTTCCTGCCCTAATTCTCTCAGTTCCCAGTCATGGACAATAGTGACTGAAAAGCCAGGCTGGATCTCAACAGTATCCACTCCGTTATCCGCTCGCACTGTCCACTCGCATTATCTCTCCTCTGCACGCCAACAACACACAATGAGGATGGCAAAACACACTCTGATCAACCAGCAATGATCGACTATGAGGGAGTCGAAGCAACGGCAGCAACAACTGGAGCAAAATGGAGCTACTACTGGACAATCAGCACTAGTATGGTGAAAGTGATGGATTGCTGTGCTTTATGCTATTCATGTGCAGTAACCCGTGCCATTAGTTTGCACGGCTTGCGCAAGGGATCCAAAAGTCTCAAGAAGGTCACCTGATGAGCGAGCCATGCCTTGCCGGTACACTGAAGCCACTGGAACCCGAATGAGCCTCTTGACCACCACACCATGCAGGAATCAAAGAACCAAACAACAACAACAACAACAAACAGCCGACCACCATGTCCTCAGGCACAAGTGGCTTTTCAACAGATTGAACCCACCATGATTTTTCCGGCAGTACTCGTCTTCATCAACACATACAGGAGGCTCCTCTCACAGACACTTTCTCCTTACCGTTTTGGAGATTCAGCACAATCAAATCAGGGCTTGAGCGGAGGCAATGGCCTCAATCCGTACACTCCACTCCTTTTCCAAACTGGCAAAAACAACAAACATGATGGTGCCTTCCTCTACAATCAACATCAATCAGCTGTTCTTATTTGATTTGTCCAGCCATCTTTCAGTGCAAGGTCTCAACACTACCAACAACAAAGTTTCAAAAGTTGCCTCAGCACTGTGGAAGGTGAAAAGAGCCTCAAAAGGACCAGATCGAATTTGGATATATGTTTGGATGCTGTTGGGCATGTGCGGGTCCGTTCTCCCTTCCGGTCGGGCGCACGGGGTCCGATTTTTTGCAGGAGGAGCATGCAGCCGGGACCGGTACAACCAGGCTGGAGTTGGCCACCATGGCAAACAGCCCTGAATTCTTGGTGGGGTCCGTTTTTCCCAACCTCCAATGTTATCACTACGTACCGTCGATCGTCCCTTTCGCTAGCTAGCCTAGAGTACAGTCTTTTCTTTAGTAGTCGATTTGACTTATTGGATTGCATTATTCGTCCGATCGACGCGTTGTGCAATCTCCCCCGGTACTTGAAATCTCCCCAGGGGTGGTTTCTGGAACCATTTCCGTTCTGCTTCCCAATCGTCAAAGAGATGGAGTTTTTGATTGAGACGATTCAAATGATGAAACCAATAGTGTTCCGGTGATTCCAATAATAATAATAATAATGGATTTTCATTGTCATTTGTATTCTGAGGTTGCGGTTGTTCCCAGGGTTTGGTGCGTCCCGTGAAATGATGATAGTGTCGATAGGGGGGTGGCCCGGTCGCCCACTTGGCGGCAATCGTGTGATTGTAGCGTCGAAAGGGCCGTTCTAGAACCATCTCCAAGTACAAATTCCCCGTCGCATCATGACTCCCCCAATTCTGTACCTTTTTGTGAATGACAATGGAAACACTTTGTTGATGATATTTGGTCCAATGATAGAGCAATCCTTGATCGGCATCGGCGCCGTGAAATGTCCACTGTGTGCCCTTTCGATGACGGGTCGTAGTGACCCATTGATCGGGTGGTTGGATGGTGTGTCCCCAACCGCGGTCGATGTCAAATTTGTTGGGCGTCGTGGCGTGTTGAGCGTCCCGTTCCCGTTGGGAAATGACGTCTTGGAGTTGCTGCCACTTGTGAGGTCCCGGTGAAAGGACAAAGAATCCTCCCGACCCCGGTTCTTGGGTTCCCGCTACAATCAGATTTTCCTTTAGTAGTGGCGGTAGTGACACGTTGTGTTGGGGTGTCATCATGTCAAAGAGATACTCGAGATTGGCCAGCGGCATGACATCGGCATCGAGAAAGAGGACCCGTTGATACTGAACCCATTGCAAGACGCGAAACTTTTGCATATTAATGTCGTAAAAGCCTTGATGCGGCGATTTGGGAATGTACTCGACATGGTCAATGTGACTGGCGTGCAACCACTCCAAGTCGGCAGCGGGTAACGTGGTGGCGGGAGTGTTGTACGACATTTGGATCAAGAGACAATAATCTGCCTTGGTCGAACCATAATGCTCACGCAACAGTGTGGCTTGGAGCAACACATTGTACAAGAATCCACGGTACGACGGATTTGCCGGATCCACACCGCCAATCAGAGATGCGTAGGCAAACTGTCTGTTGCTCGTCTTCTTCTGTTTGTCATTTCTATTGTGGTTGTTCCGAACTTTGTCATCTTGTGGATCAGGATTCTTCTGTTGGGAAGGCGTCAGACCAATCTGTCGCCACAAGAACAGACCAATCAGGACATGCAACAGTATCGTACCAAGACGAACATTCGATACTCGGATCATGGCTGGTTGCTGCAACAGCACCAACAACACATCATCTCAACCTCACAAAGAGCATCCATTGCCATGGCAACCATAGTGGGATCGTTCAGTGTCCACGAAACCTTACTACAGTATTGGATTTGCAACAATCCAGGACTTGATTTATTCATGAACCATACGTCGAGTAGAATAAGTGTGAGTGACTCAGTCACATAAAACGACGGTAGAGTTCTCATGGTGACAATAAATATGACCTTGCCTTTTCTCTTTTCTCTCTTCCACCGAACAGAAGGGAGCATCTCAATCAACCATTCCTGAACTGGCATATATGGAATGAGCAGTCACAACGGGTTCTCATTGGAACAGTTATGACCGTCCATTTTGGATATGGGACAACTGCCGTCAGCGTCAGACGACTTTCAAAGGGCAGTAGGCAGGTCACTTGGGATGACGTCGATCAGATTGACGCACCGTTCGAAAGAATCTTCAAATCGTAGTTGAGGTGACCATAGAGTTAGAGAAGTCCTATTCTACTTATATGTTTCTTTAGTCCGCAGTCCGCAGCTGTTAGACTTTGAAGACTTTCTTTAAGTACCGGTACAGCTTAGGCACGATACTCTTTTGTCCTTGTTCAAGTGCCATGTCGATCGCTGCGTGTGTCCTGGCTGCAGATGCGTGTGCCGCATGTGGCAGCCAACAACTCGATCGAGATGATCATGCATGCAGTGAGACTGATCGATTGTCACTCAGTTTCACGCACTCACCCAGGTTTAATCTACCTGCAACACAACACGAGAACTATCGATAATCATAAGGAATTCACCCTTTACTGCTGAAGAAGATGATGATGGCAAGTGATCAAAGCGACCATGAAGCCAAGCTAGACATCGAGATGAATCTCAGCTTTGAGGAGGAAGAGGAAGAAGAAGAC